CATTTTGGGGTCCCCCCCGGTGCAGATTTTGGGGTCCCATTTGGTGTTTCAGCAGCTCCCCCAGACCTCGGAGCACATTTTGGGGTGGCACCTGTTGCTCAGCGGCTCCCCCAGAGCTCGGAGAACGTTTTAGGTCCCCCCTGGTGCGGATTTTGGGTCCCACCCAGAGCTCTGAGCGGATTTTGGGTCCCACCCGGTGCGGATTTTGGGTCCCACCTGCCCCCCTTCCCCCAGCTCTCCGATCCCCCCCCAGCCCTCACCTTGTCGATGAAGGAGGCGAACTTGTTGTTGAGGCTCTTGATCTGCTCCTTCTCCTCCCGCCGCACCCTCTGGATGTTGGGGTCGATCTCCAGGTTGAGGGGGGTCAGCAGGCTCTGGTTCACCGTCACCTCCTGGATCCCCGCGGGGCTCGGCGACCCCAACCCGGCGGCCCCGAAGCCCCCGTAGCTGGATCGGAGGCTGAAGGAGGAGCCGCCCCCTCCCAGCGAGACCCTCTTGGAGGAGCCCAGGTTGTAGAGGCTGGAGCTGCCAAAGCCCCCGCGGGCGGAGGGGCCGCTGATGCCGCGCGTGGACGACACGGAGCTGACCCGCACCTGCGTGACGGCCGGCACGGCCACGGAGCGGGAGCTGAAGCTGACGGAGCGGGACATGGCGCTTCCCAAAAATCCCGAATTTCAAAGGAATAAAAAAGAATTAAAAAATAATAATAATAAAAAAAGCTCAGGAGCTGCCCACGAGCGAAGTGGGTGTGAGACGAGCCAGGTGCCCCTTTTATCGGCCACAGAGGAGGGAGGAGGAGGAGGAGGAGGGGGGGGGAAGAGAAAGAGCTGGGCTTGGCCCCGAGGGTGACGAGAGAGGGATCGTTTTACTGCCCGGCCGAGCTGGGTGTGCCCGGCCGAGCCTTCCCACCCCCCCCCTCCCCTCCGGAGCCGGGGAAGGGGACAAGGACACACCTGGCGCCGCCTGTGTCACCCCACGCTGCTCACCTGGGCGCCAGGTGGGTGGCACAGGTGGATGGCACCGGCTGGGACACGCGTGGCGCGGGGTGGGACGTGAAATCCCAGAGCTCATCCAGGCTCGTTCTGGGCCCCCCTGCAGGTTCTTCGGGGCTCCCCAAGTGACACCTGCAGACCCCCCCCCGCCTCCCCCCAATCCCATTCCCTAAGGATTCTCCCTGTTTTTCCCCCCCATGTCCCGAGGGAGGGGGATGGGGACGCTCAGGGAACACAATCGATATTTTTTTAAGCCCTGCCAGCGGCTCCTCGGGGGCCCAGAGGGAGCTGATAAAGAGGCCTCACTCAGCCTGGTTTAACATCAACCAAGCCCGGCTTAGGCGGCCCTGGGAGCTCTCCAGGCCCTGCCTTTTTTTTTTTTTTT